ATGTTCAACATCCTTAGCCATCAGCAAATTAAAACGACTTTGAGATTCCACCTTATATCAGTCAGAATGGCTAAGATCAAAAACACCAATGATGGCTTATGCTGGAGAGGATGTGGAATAATGGGGACACTTCTCCATTGCTGGTAGGAATGCAAACTTGTACAACCACTTTGGAAATCAATATGGCAGCTTCTCAGAAAACTGGGAATCAACGGACCTCAGGACCCAGCAATACCATTCTTAGGCATATAACCAAAGAACGCTCAATCATACTACAAGGACACATCTATTCAACTATGTTTATAGCAGCATTTTTTGTAATAGCCAGAACCTGGAAACAACCTAGATGCCCCTCAATCAAAGAATGGGTAACGAAATTGTGATACATTTATACAATGCAGTACTGCTCAGTGGAAAAAAAATGACATCTTGAAACTTGAATGCAAATGGATGAAACTAGAAAAAAAAAAACATCCTAAGTGAGGTAACCCAGACACAGAAAGATGAACATGGTATGTACTCACTCATAAGTGGATACTAGCTGTAAATTAAAGGATATTGAGACTATAGTTTATGATCCTAGAGAAGCTAAGTAACAAGGTGAACCCCAGGAAAAACATATATAGATCCATCTGGAAAGAGGAAATAAACAAGATTGCCTGACAAAATTGGGAGCATGGGGGTGGGGGGAAGGAAAGATGGAAGGGAAAGAGGAAAGGAGAAGAAGATAGTTGAGGAGAACTTGAAGGGAATGGGATAGTCAAGATGGAGGGAGGACAGAGATGAGAGCAAGGAAAGAGATATTTAGATGGAGGGAGCCATTATGGGGCTAGCAAACCTGGTACTGGAGAAATTCCCAGGAATCCACAATGATGACTCCAGCTAAGACCCTAAACAATAGAGGAGAGGGTGCCTGAACTGTCCTTGCCCTGTAGTCAGATTGATGAATATATTAAATGTCACCATAGAACATTCATCCAGCAACTGATGGAAACAGAGGCAGAGATCCACACTGGAGCACTGGGCTGAACTCACAAAGTCCAGCTAAAGAGCGGGAGGAGTGAGAATATGAGCACAGAGGTCAAGGCCGTGATGGGAACACCCACTGCACAGTTTACCTGAGCTAATGGGAGCTCACCAACTCCAGCCGGACAGGGAAGGAACCAGCATAGGACCAAACTAAACCCTCTGGATGTGAGTGACAGTTGTATGGCTAGGGCAGACTGGGACCACTGGCACCAGGATTTATCCCTACTGCTTGTACTGGCTTTTTGGAAACCCATTCGCTTTAGATGGATACCTTGCTCAGCCTAGATATAGTGGGGAGGGCCTTGGACCTTCCACAAAGCAATGTGCCTTACACTCTCTGAAGAGTGGATGAGGGGTGAGGTGGGGGGAAAGATGGAAGGAATGGGAGGAGGGGAGGGAGGGAGAACTGGGGTTGGTATATAAAATGAAAAAAGATAGTTTGTTTTCTTTTTAAAAAATAAAAGAAGAAAAAGGAAAAACATTTCATTGGGGTGGCTGGCTTACAGTTCCAGAGGTTCCGTGTATTATCAGCATGACAGGGAGCATGACAGCGTGTGAGAAGACATGGTTCAGGGTCTGAGAGTGCTACATCTTGCAAGCAGCAAGATGTTGAATGATTGTCACACTGAGGGACCTCAATGTTTGCGTGCACAGTGACACACTTCCTCCATAAGACCTTACCTCCTAATAGTGTCACACCCTTTGAGGGCCATTTTCTTTCAAACACCACAGGAATGAAGGGAAGGAGGGAGGGAGGGAGGGAGGGAGGGAGGGAGGGAGGGAGGGAGGGAGAGAGGGAGGAAGGGAGGGAGAGACTCTTTTCTAAGATGCTGGTTGTCACTTGTCAATATAATACCTAGGACTGCCAGTGGACTCTTTGTGGAGATGCCTAGTCTAGTGTTTCTGTTCTACTTGTGAGAGAGATTTGCTTATGGAACAGCTGGTAGGTAGAGATTAATCCAGGCCCATTGCATTCTATTGAGACTGAGCTGTGGATAAGATGAAGATCCCAGCCCTTTTTCACGCTGACCTCAATGTAGTTTTATGTGATAATTCAGGTCCAAGTGGCCAGGAAACAAAAGCACAGACTCCATTTACAGGATTTATCGGGGCTTACAGTTTCAGAGGTGAGGCCATAACCATCTTGTTCAGGAACATGAAATCAGGTGGACAGTCATGATGCTGAAGCAGTAGCTGAGAGCTTAGGTCTATCTCATCCATGATAGGAGGTGGACTGGGCACTAACTGGGAAAGGCTTGGGCTTTGGAAACCTCAAAATCTATCCCCAGTGACACATTTCCTCCAACAAGATCACACCTCCTAACCTGTCCCAAACATTTATACCAACTGGAGACCAAGAATTCAAAGATCTGAGCCACGGGGGTTATTCTCATTCAAACCACCACACCCTGTTACTCTCACATCCGTCTGTCCTTCCCACCAAGACATTTGTGTCTCTGTTGACTCTTTCTAGTATCCCATATTTTAGTTTTATTTTTTTTTCTGTGAAATTTCTATATCGAAATATATCTCTGGACCTTTAGCTTGTCGTTCTCCCACACGCCTGAACCTGCCTTTACATCACTCTGTCCAGATCTCTAGCAACCACACTCTCCATTTCTATGTCTTCATCATGGTGGCTTCCTGCACAGACCCCTGGGACTCAGCCCAGGTTTTCCGAGCCTGTGCCACCAGACCCAAGTCTCCACCCTGATTCCATTCTCTGTGCTCCATCTTCTGGTACAAAGTCCTTTGTGGTGATCAGACAGACTGCTTGAGGAAGTTCCAATTCTTTGTCCAAAAAATAAAATAATAATAATAAAAATCATACCTAACAGTGGGGTTGGTGGGATCATCCCTCCCCCTACCTCAGGACTGTCCCCCCACTCGCCACTGTCTGGAAGATGGATCAATAATGGTCATGAAGCCGGGCGATGGTGGTGCATGCCTTTAATCCCAGCACTTGGGAGGCAGAGGCAGGTGGATCTCTGTGAGTTCGAGGCCATTCTGGTCTACAGAGCTAGTTCCAGGACAGGCTCCAAAGCCACAAAGAAACCCTGTCTCGAAAAACCAAAAATAATAATAATAATAATAATAATAATGGTCATGAGTCCCTATCCACAGAAACCCTCAGCCTGACCCATCAGGGCCTCCCATAACACCTCATGTCCACCCAGGGCTAGCACAGACTGAGGCCCATTGTAGGCTATGACATTATCTCCATATTTCCCCTCAGCTACAAAGTCAAGGCCCAGCCCTCACAAGCTGACCCTAGTGATAGGTCCTTCCTCTAACTGATCATACACCCTGGTGTATGGGTCTCATCAGTTTAGAACACTATCCTGAGCTCTGTGGTTTCACGTGACCATCTCTCTCATACCCTTCCCTGAGGGCCTGGTTCCAGCTTTTCTGAGAACCTTCCAGCTTTGGACTTTATGAGTTTCACAGACTCCACATGTGAAATGCTGCTCTCCATGATGGAGAACACAGTAAGTCTACCAGAAGCTATCTCCCTGCCTACCTTCCCTCTCAAAAGAATTCTAGAAGCCTCTCTAGTACCACAGCATGGCTGGAACAAGAGAATTCCCATCCTGATCTGGAGATACTTGTTGCGCCATGGGCCTGCAACTCTTTGTAGCCTGTGAGCACCACTTCCTTCCTCCCACTTCCTGCCTCTTCACCCTGACCTCCTCCACATCTCAGCCTTTGGAAAGATTTGAGTAAGCTCATGGGGTCTGTTAGAAAATATTCTCTAGCAAAGGCAGAAGCCATTGTTCAGGAGAGAGACAGACCTTGAGCTGGAGTCACCCCAGGTCCAGAATATTAAGATCCAGAAGAAGTCAGAACACCATGGTCCTCCCTTGGCATGCTGCACATTCCCCTGTTGTTCTTGAAGGGTTGGCTGCTGTGTTTGTTGTCTGTTGGTGAAGGAGGGTGTGCCAGGGCTCCACCTTGGCAAACGTCCTGGTAACTCTCCCTGGGCTACAGAGGGCTTGATGAGGTAGGTAGAAATTTAGTATCTCAGAGGTGAGTTGAGAGCTGCCTGCTGATTGGCCAGTGGCTGCCCGGAGACATCTTCCTAGGTGATGATGTTAGATAAATGACCGTCCCACAAGCACCTGCTTGTCCCAGCAGTGTGGTGTGTATTTCAGTTTCCTGGGACATCGCTCAAAGGGTGATTCCCAGACACTTCTGTCAGAGTGTGGCATCATCAACTCTCTGTAGGCCAGGGAGTGTTATCAGGAACTTTGTCAAGGCAGAATTCTGACACACCCTTCTCCACCAGCAACAGAAACATGACAACAAACAGAGCAGATGACTCACAGAGCTGGGGTCCACCTGGACACTTGGGGATGAGGATTTACTCTGGTCATCAGAAGACAGTGAAAGAGATTGGAGACAGATGACGTCTGTGCATAGGACAAGTTTAAAGAGCGACTGCTATCACTTTATCAAGTTGTTTATTTACTTGTAGGTTACTGTTCCATGGATTTAAACATCTGGCATCAGCCACCTGCCGTTCCAGGTTCTCACAGTGGAGCAGGGAACAAGGCAACAAGTTGTCCTTCCCCAAACCTGGTATGAATGCGATGGAACTGGCAGCAAGAAGCCCTTCGATAGAGAACCTTACTTACCAGACAATCAAGAGGTCACATGTAAGAATAGTGGGGAGGTCAGGGGACTGGGCACCATGGTGGCTGCTCTCAAGTGTTAACTTGCCTGTATCAGGCATCAACTAAAACCCAGGCTACTGGGCATCCTGTGAGGGTTTTCTTATTAGATTATTAGAAGCAGAAAGACCCACCCTAATCCAGACCACATCTTCGGCTGGCATAACACATGAAAGAAGGTATTGTGCTTTTGCTAAGAAAGATCATGACAAAAAGCATGTGAAGGTATGTAACTGTGGGCTGCAAAACACAGGAACCTAGATAATACTATAGGAAGTAAAATACACCAGACACCAAAGATCACAGCTATGTGACTCTGTTTATGTTAACCATACATATTAGGCAAGTTCATAGACATAGAATTCAGACCATGTACAGAGTCTATTAGATTAGCTCATGGAGCACCAGAGGTATTACATGGGGACAGTGGCTGTTAGGAGCAATAGGGAACTGACTCAGCATGAGATGTGGCCTCCAGAAGTCTTTCTGTTCACACATCAAGCAAGACACTTGACTGATTTCTCCAGTGCCATTCTCAGGGCAGAAGAACACACCTCGGAGATTTGCAGAAGCTTCAGTTAAAGTGGACGGGTTTGAGAAGTGACCTACGGCCTGGTTTGCAGCAGGTCTCACAGAGAAAGAAAGATGGGGCCATTCTCAACAGGAGTGGGGACACCCGGACACCTCAGCCCAGTCAGCGGGCCAAGAAGCGGATCTGGTATGTTGGGGGCACTTTGCCGAAGCCACTCTCCTTGGGACTGAGGTCAATGTCCTTAGGAGCCATGGAACTGGAAACAGAGAAGTTCTGGAGGATGGTGGTGAAGAAAAGGAACAATTCGTTGCGGGCAATGCCTTCACCAAGACAAATGCGCTTTCCTGTGGGCACAGAGAATGAGTCATGTGAGCCCCAGGGAAGTATATAGCTTTTGGACTGCCCCATCCCTAAACCCAGACAACTCTCCCATTGCAATGAATAAGAATGAGTTTGATACTCACCTGCAGTTCAAGTGAGAATGTTAAGAGATTCCCAAAATGTTAAAGAATTGGTTCAAGGGCCCGTGAGACTTCTTAGCATGGAAAGTCGCCTGCTATCAATCCTGATAACATGAGTTCAACCCTCTGGACCCACAAGTTAGAAAGAGAGAACCAACTCCCACAAGCTGTCCTCTGATATGAACACACCCATACCCACCATTGTGCACATATATATGCATACAACCATGTATACAGGAATAAATAAATCGTAACATGTGCCAATTTGTTGGGAAGTCTCATGGTCACTTCTGACAAATTTCTAGCTTTTATCAGATTATCAAAGTCCTTTGTTCCTGGACTGTAAGAACCCACTTAGAGTAGGAAGGAAGTGTGTATGTGTACATATGTATAATGCAGCAGCTTTAATGTTCCTCCTTTCTCATGTGAGGGGATTGATATCCATTTCATTGGCTGCCCTAAGGGTAAAGATACTGTTTACAAAGACTCTTGGATTAACAACTGGATGTTGTTAAGGGTCCTATATGAGCCAGATATGGATACACATGCCTGTAAATGCAGCACTTGGGAGACCACAACAGGAAGATGATGGGTTCAAAACAGGCTGGACTACATAGCAAGATCTCTGTGTGTGCATTCCTTCTGTCTCTCCTTCTCTAAACCCAAGAATGCTTATTAAAATGAAATAAAAAAATCTCTGTCTCATGTCAGAAGAGCCACCTTATATAAGTCAGAAGAAAAACAAATATTTATGGACTATTATATTACCACTAATCTCATAAACCTATGGTTTTATATTGACTCTTTAACAGCATTTCTTAAGGTATAGGAGTTATAAGATTAATGTATACATTTAAACTTTTTGTCATGATATTAATAGTCATATAGATTACTAACTAATTCTAGAAAAAGGTTTTATCTACCTCCATGAACATGATTTCGGGTTTCAGATTTTCTTTTCAGTTTTCTGCAGTGAACCATGAGCATGCCTAACAGCAGCCTTTGGAGTCTCCATAAGGAGGGTAGGGCCCCAAAACTATGATTCCCCCAGGACTATGATAACACCACTAAGCTGAAAAACACCACCTAAATATCAGCTTTGGACTACAACTGCTCAGAGCAATTTTGAGGTGTCTAGCTGAGATGATCCAGCCTCACAGACTACTCTAGCCAGGACTTGAGACAAGTCCCACATTTCCCATAATGCAGAGACTATTCAACAAATAACACGTCTACCTCTCCCAGGACTTGACAATTAACCCAAATTTTTCTTTTCAGGATCCCCTAAAGATGCCATCACCCCAAAGAGCAGGAAGTAAATTTAAAAACACACGCCTTCATTCCCAAGAGGTAGGGTGAGTGGTTTTTGGTCTTTCATTGGGTTATGGATGTTTGTTATTGTTTAGGGGGGTTGGTTACAAGTTGTTACTGATAATGGTCAGGAAAAAAGCTAAACAAAGGAAATTAAATTCAAAGTTCTTGTTTTGAAAGAAAAAAGGGAGATATAGATATGATAGGATAGAAGGGTAGATTATTGAATCTACTCTAAAAAGAAAAAAAGGAAGATATAGATATGATAAAATAAAAAGGTAGATATTGAATCTACTTTTTAAAAGCAACTACTAGTTTTAAATGTTTTACATTAGATTGGACTTTTGCATATTGTATACAAAATTTGTATATTGATACAAATTTGAGATTAATTTTGTTAGAACATACTGTACATACATTGCTACTCTCATTCAGGATATTTACCTTTACAACTCATTTAACAATGTAATGCAAATATCTACTCCTTGAAAATTATTATTATCAACTGTTTGGTATAATAAGGAAATACAGGTTAGTAATTAATCACCTATTATAATCAAACTTGTAGTCACATTAGATATGTTTTCAAGGTCAAACAAAGATATATTTTAGATAGACAGGTCATCTTCAAACACTTCAGAGATCTACAGAATATGGAATTTAAGATGTTTTAATCACATAGGCTCTTTTTTATGACAATGAAACATGTCTGCTTCTGGCAGCATCAATCTATTTTAGAGAACAATGGGCATTAAAGAAACTCTATATGGAGTTTATTTTCTGTGTTACAAAAGTAAGCCACTGGGAAAGAAAATGAACTTGACTCTACTGTGGACAGTATGATGTCCTAACTGGACAAGCAGGACACAAAAGAAAGTGTCTGCCAAACATTGTCAAGACAAGGAGAGACAGCCCTTCAGAATATCTAGCCTCACAGATAAGTCTGTCTGATATTCTAGGCCTGTAGGCTAAAGATGAATACCCCAACATTGCAGAGAAACTTTGGGTGACTATCCAAGCATCCCGCTGTTTCTGTCATTTCTCACATTTTTTTTTGGAAGTTGCTTGCTCACACTTCCTGCTTATTCAGTTAATATTATTTCTTTCTTGGGACTCTGAGGGAATTGAAAACTAGATAATTATAGTTATAGTTTTTCTTGTTTACCAGATGCAGGAAGCAAGTTATGATAGAAAGTAAAAAAGACTTTGGACTCACAATATAGGATAGATATGGAGTGATTTCTCTGAATTTGTAAAATGCAAATGAACTAGATATTGTTGATACACTTATTGCCAGTATATATTGTATATAGTTATTGTACTTACTGTATGTAGTTTTTCTTATATTAGTTATAGCCTTTTTTATTTTAGAGTAAAATGGGAAATATAGTGGTATATTATTTGTTTTTTAATAAATAAAGCCTGTCTGAATATCAGAGGCAAAGCAGACATATTAGTCAGCCATACAGGCCAGAGAGTGGGGGAACACACTTTTAATTCTAGGATTTAGGAAACAGAGGCAGAGGGATCTCTAGTAGTTCAAGGTCACCCTGGACTACACAAGATTGAATCTGCCTAAAAGAGAAACATGGCTCAGCTGTGTAATGGTGTCACACACTTTTAATCCCAGCACTGGAGAGAAAGAGGCAGGCAGATCTCTATAAGTTCAAGGCCAGCCTGGTCTACAAGAGCTAATTTCCAGGACAGACTCAAAAGCTACAGAGAAACTCTGTCTCAAAGACAGAGAGAGAGAGAGAGAGAGAGAGAGAGAGAGAGAGAGAGAGAGAGAGAAACAGGGTTCACACAAAGATGATCCCAGCAATTGGGATCATATACCTTTAATCCCAGCACTAGGAAGGTAGAGACGGGGGCAATATGGCTGGGCAGAGAGAGGAATATAAGGGGGAAGAGACAAGAACTCAGAGGAGTATGAACTAGGGGATGTGAACTCTTCAGAATTCATGGAGACAGGATCTCACCTGTTTTCAGTCTGAGGAAGAGGAAGAGCCAGTGGCTGGCTGCCTTGCTTTTCTAATCTTCAGGTTGAACCCCAATATCTGTCTCTGGGTTATTATTCATGCTACAATCCTCTCCCTTTCTCTGCTCCCCACTTGCATTCTCCCTTCCTTCCTTTCTTGTTCAGCTTGATATCAACAAGTTCCCAAACACAATTGCTCATACAATTAAAAATGGGCAAGGTCACATGATGAAGGGTCTCTGGCACTCAATGAGTTCTCAGGGGTATAAGAAGCCTATGGTGGTTTGTCACCTTGGGCATGGAGCATCACAGAGCAACAGGAGCCTGAAAGCCCAGACAAAGGCTCCACCACCTGCCCTGTATCTCAGAGATTCTTAATCTGAAACTGGCTGCCTTGGGTGTCCAGGTGGAGAAGGGATTTCCAGGAACCCATGCCCTCCAGTTTTTGGGGAGCTGCCAATGTAGGAGTGTCTAGGGAAAACACCCTATCCCTTTGGGCACCACCTTTCCAGAATTTAGGTGGCATGAGCTTAGAAATTAATGGAGTATCTCTCTGAGATGGTTATCCTAGAACTGGTTTTGTGACCCATATTTTTCCAGAACAGTTTTAAATGGCTATCTCACTCTCAACAATGACCTCATGCCTGGAACTGGCAAATTAGACACCATACATGTCTCTTTGGCTCTCATATCCTTTTGGCTTGCTTGTTTGCTCATTCTCTTGCTTGCTTGCTTACTTGCTGCAACTTGCATCCCACAGCAGTATAACTGAATCTGTGCCTATACCTATCTTTTTATCTATTTTTTTCTGGATGCTTTTTCTAAACTTCCTAGCCAACATCCTAAGCCCTCCTCATTCTCTGTTTAACCATAACTAGTCATGCATTCCTTCATCTCTTCTTCTTGCATCCCCTTTCTCCACACCCCTGGCTTTCTAAACTTGGGATTATTGTACAGTTTACTTATATCTCATACCCTACATTGATGTGGTATGCCCCTCTGTGTGCTGTCTTGGGCAGAATATACCTAGGTAGGGAAAACTAATCTGAATGCTGGGAGAAAGAAGGCAGAGGAAGAGAAGCCATGGAGCCACTGCCAGAGACAAAGGTGCCAGATCTTTGCCGGTAAGCCACAGCAATGTGGCAATACATAGAATAATGGAGATGGGTTAAATTAAGATGTAAGAGTTAGCCAATAAAAAGCTAGAGCTAATGGGTCAAATACAGTTTCTGTGTGGTTATTTGGGGAGTCTGGGCAACTGGGGAATGAACAAGCAGCCTCATAAAACAAATTGACATACTAACATGGATTACTAAATACATATAAAACCTAAGAAAGCTTGGAAAGAAATTCTAGACATTAAAAAACAAAGTTTAACCACATTTTTTTCTGGATGGGCTCTGCTTGCTACAGCTCCCTTAAAAGAGGCCTACTTGATTCAGCAATGTCTTTAACAGTGGCTTCCTGGTCCATGCTGCCAGCACAAACTCTGGTTCTTTTGGGGGATTGATACCTGCCACCACTTTGAGTCCAGATGCTTATGTGCCCACTTGGGGTCAGGAGGAAAGTAGCTGAGATGATGTCCAGGCTCAGCACTCCCCACCTGGATTGATTCTGCTAGGAGTGCACAGACAAGAAAGTATGGCAGACTCTCGCTGCCATGCACAGAGATATATTGAGGCCATACATGCAGTGTGCTGCATGGCAAGTTTAGCTTTTACTCAGATAAAAAGGGTTTATATGCTGCACAGTGGTACCCAGAGTTGAGGTTGTAAGGATGGTTCATACCCAGCGATCCTAGAACCTGCAGTAAACTACCTCCACCATATTTAAAGTCTGAAAAAGGCAAAGCCAGCACCCAGGACCGCTGAGACTACGCTGCTTAGCGTTTGAAAAACTACTCTTGGAAAGAAAATGATTTCAGATACACAATAGGACAGATTCAGACATTAAAGACCTCTAAACAAGACACTGTGTGTTTGAAAAATGTACATAAGCTTGGGAGAGAGAAGAAAAAGAGTAAAGAGACAGTAAATGTAATATAAAAGAGTACAGACAGTCATAGATTAAAAGAATAAAGATAATAAAATAAATATTAAATTGTAGAAAAAGTAATAGAGTAAAACTAATAAGCCATGTAAAGATGGAAAATTCACAGAGTCTGGATTATGTATATTATTATGTTTTCTTTAAATTTTTTGACTGTTAAAGAGCTACATAACAAGAGACATTTCATTGTATGGGCTGCTAAGCTAAACCAGCATATATACTTTAAAGGTATCTTGATTTCAAAATTTGGGTCAAAGAATGTGTTACTTTGGAAAAGAGGTTCTTCTTTTGTTTCTGCAGAAGATTAGAACCTGTGGAATCCTTCTAGACTAATGTGGTTTAATGAACCAAGATCCCCTGAAAGGTCACTTTGAACACCCCTCAAAAAATACTTTGCCCAATAAACAGCAGGAAGCAGTTTGAAGAGAACTACACCTATATCCCTAAATGATTGTTTACAAATGTTTATTTACATCTAAAGAGGCATATGCTACAAGATCTGCATTGATATAGATCTTGGTTTATTGATACAGATTTAAGGTCAATTTTGTTATACTGTGTATATGTATTTCTGCTCTTGATTAAGGTGTTGTGTTTGTGTAGTCATTTAAAATGTAATGTATAATTAAGAAATATAAGTTAATAGATAAACATCTATAATAGTCAAGCTTGTAATCATGTTAGTTAGGTTTTCTAGACATATAGAGATATATTTCAGTTAGATAGGTATTCTTCAAATCTTTCAGAGACCTTCAGAATATGGCATTTAAAATGTTTTAAAAACTTAGGACTTTTCATGACAATTAGACACATCTGCTTCTGACAGCACCAATCTGTTTCAAGAGAAAGACGGGCATTGAAGAGGCTCCTTATGGAGTTGGGTGGCCATTTGGGCAAGAAACTGTTCATGACTGGACTGCTTGATGGTATGCCATGTGAACTGGACGTACAGAACCCAAAGAAAAATGACTGCTAAAGTTGCCTAAAGAAGGTGAGACAGTCCTTCAGCATTCCTGCTTTATGACAGAATCTGTAGGACACAGAAAAAAGTGACTGACAAAATGTTAATGTAGGCAGAACTGTCTTTGGATACTATGGGCCTATAGGCTGAAGATGGATGCCCCATTCGTACAGAAAAACTTTGGGTAATTGTCCAGGTAGCAAGATGTCTCTGTCAATTCTAGAGTTTTGGAAGCTGCTTACAATGCACTTCCTGTTTACTTGGGTAATATTAAATCCTTCTGGAGTCTTTGATGGAGTTGAAGAATTTATAGTTATAGTTTTGCTTAGTTAGTAGAGATAAAGTAGATATAAATATTGTAACTGTAATTCTTTCTTGATACCTGTTTTGTTATATATAATTTTACTACATTAAAGTTGAAACCTTTCTTTTTATTTAAACAGAAAAGGGGAGGTGATGTGGGATTCCCCTCTGTATGCTGTGAATACCATTTGTTAATAAAGAAACTGTCTTAGGCCTGCACAGGGCAGAATATACATAAGTGGAGAAAACTAAACTAAATGCTGAGAGAAAGAAGGTGGAAGAAAAGAAGCCATGGAGCTGCCATCAGAGACAGACACCAAATCTTTGCCAGTAAACCACAGCCACATGGCAATACACAGATTAATAGATATGGGCTAAATTAAGATGTAAGGGTTAGTCAATAATAAGCTAGAGCAAGCAGTGATTTAACTAATACAGTTTCTGTGTGGTTATTTTGGGAGTCTGGGCAGCCAGGAAATGAACAAGCAGCCTCATACAACACTACATGTCTACAACCCTGAAGATGAAACATGAAAGGAGGCCATTGGACTGGACACAGCCAGGAGCAAGGCTGCAGACAGGGTGACTGAAGTCACTTGGACACTCAAAACTAGACTACTCTTAGCTGAGACATGGCTCAGTGGGAGAGCACTTGCGTAAAATCCCTCAGTGAGGGGATGAGGGCAGAGAGCAGGGAGGTTCAGCACAGAACATCTCCTAGAATGCACCAAGGAGAGGCTGGAGGTGGGGGCTCTTTCAAAGAGAACTTACTTAACACATACTCAGCCCTGGCTTCCACCCCTAGAATGAGGACATGAGAGAAGGGGGACAACTAAAGGTTAAAGAATTCCTTCTAGAACCTCTCTTTCTCTAAAAGATGAGAAACCTAAACACAAAGTTACTCATTTACACAGAGTCCATTCAACTGAATTAAATTTGGTCAGAGGCAGATTCTGTATGTAAACAAACGAACCAAACACAACAGGCACTCCAACTACACACTACTTGAGATTATATTCTTCTAGTGAAGAACAAATCTCAGTCACTCACAGCAGTTGACCTGCTCCAGGCTTCCAACTACCTCAGCATGGCTAAGTAAGGCCAAAGCAGAGCTGGCTCCATCAAGCTGTGTGTCCATGCCCAGCTCCCTCTAGTCTATAGACACTGTGTGCTGACACTGCAGGGTGCTATAACTCTGGTTCAAGAGTTTGTCCATCATGAATGGGTTCTTGGCTCAAATAAATGGTAGTAATTTTGATGTCTCTTAAAATTTAACAAGAGTATGCAAACAGAGATAAGCATGTCAAGACATGCCCCATCTCCCCAGTGCTCACAGCTAAAATCAATGCCTCCCCAGCAATTAAGACCCTACCCAGTTCATAGCAGTGTTCAAGACCCTACCCAATTCATAGCAATGTACAAGACCCTACCCAGTTCATAGCAGTGTACAAGACCCTACCCAGTTCATAGCAGTGTACAAGACCTTACCAAGTTCATAGCAGTGTACAAGACCCTGCCCAGTTCATAGAAGTGCTGCTGTTTCTTAAGAAAATGCATTTTCTCAGGTTCACAGGTTTATCAATACCTCCCCAAAGTCCTCCTGAGCAGGGCTCCTTTAGTTCAAGAAGCCCCTAGTGGGAGTGTGGCCAGGGTGAAAGGGATGATTCAGGCAAAGCAGCTAGAATAGACTCAGTAAACCTGGACCTAGTCCTGTTTCCTGGAAAGTGAGCCTGCCCTCTAGTGTCTGGGGAATGAAGCACAGGTCAGTCTCACCTGTAGAGAAGGGCATAAAAGCTTCAATTTTCTTCAGAGCCCCACTGGCATCCAGGAAGTGGTCAGGATTGAAGGCATCTGGTTGTTCAAAGTACCGTGGGTCATGAAGAGCTGAACTCAGGATGGGGTACACTTCAGTGTTCTAGGAGACATTGTGAGAGACAAAGATGTTAACATACCCTGACTCCCATCTGCAGACAGTCATATTGCAATAAGATTATTGATTATTGATTGCAATAAGAACTAGGGAATGCTGGGAAAATGCAAAAAATCTGTTACTAGGATTGAGGATAATACAGGAGGTTCAAGGCATAGGGATGTAGAGTCTCAGCTGGTCTCACCTTGGGGAGCAGGTACCCTCGGAACAAAGTGTCTTTGTTGACTTTGTGTGGCACTCCAATTGGAATAAGATCTGAAAATCTCTGAATCTCGTGGATGACTGCATCCGTGTAAGGCATTTTGGTGCGATCATCAAGGTTGGGTGGGCGGTGTGAGCCAATCACCTGATCGATCTCTTTTTGGACTCTCTCTGCACAGAAAAGGGGAATAGTGGATTTACTTTGCCAGCTTTATAGCAATGATATTTTATTCTTTAAGCCAACAGCCCAGGAAAGAGTGCAGCAAGAAGACTCTCCTGAAAAACTCAGTGCACTTGAGGGTACAAACAACTGTCCTGTTCTTAAGTGACTGTCTCTCTGTGTCCATGATTAAAACTATATAAAAGCTCTTCTCCATGAGCCTCAACCCCATTTCAGTGTTTTTTTTTTAAAAAAAAGAAAGAAAAACATACAACAAAGGCTACTGCTTAGGGAGACTTTGGAGTAATCTTATTGATGCAAGAATGTAAAGGAGAAAAACAGTAAAAATTCTCATCTTTTCAAGGGAATGAATCATTTCTCTAAACACACACACATGCACACATACACACACACATATACAAACACACACTAGTACTCGCATATACGCCAAAACTTTACACGGAATGTTATATTAAGAACTCAAGGCTGTATCCTCAGGAATAATATGGAAAAGTAGGTAGATTAGCAAATGATTCTATCAACAGATACATGCAAAAATGGATACATAAGAAAATCAATGGATCAATTACTTAATAAATGGACATATTCATGAGTTAATGAAACAGACAGACTAAACACTGGATTATGTATTCAACTTGTAAGTCAACAGGTGATTCAAATAGTGGATAAATGAAGAAAGGGATAAGCAAGGGAAAGTTCAAAGGCCAGTTAGTGAAAGGATTAAGAAATGAAACCAGTTGATAGAAGAAAAGATGTCTGAATAAATCAATGACAATTTATTCAATCCTACAGATCAAAGGAAAAACTAAGTTAATTAAAATAAATGAATGAAATGGCTGGTTGGGTGGTTAAAGGATCAATGAGTACACCAAAAATTAGACAGTGGATTGATACATGGTTGAGTGGGTAAGGTACTAGGTGTGTGTGTATATTATTAATAAGTGTTTAGAGGTGGGTAGATAAAAGGATGGTTGAGTAAATAGGTGTTTGGATAAATAGATGCTTAAATGGATGGGAAAATGAATGAAGGGATTGGTAGGTGACAGCTGGCTTAGTGGGTAGACAAATAGGTGACTGAATGAACAGAATAAGTAGATGGATGAAGAGATGCATGGATAGAAAGAGGAATGAAGAAAAGAATGTAAAGATAGAGGAAGACAGATGGGTGGATGGGTGAGTGGGTGGATGGATCAATCTTTAAGTGATGAGAGAAAACAATGGAAATGGACCAACTGAGTGTTCATTCACACACCACCCACAGCTCTGCTTTAGGTTAGATGTAGACCAAAGCCTTCAGAGCTCCAGATATAAGAGGCCCATGGCTCTCTCATCCACACAAACCTCTACAGCCAATAGGAAACTAGAAGATTCCCCAACTGGTTGTTTGTGGCACACCTGCAACATGGGGGTATTTGAGCATGAGTAGGAAGCCATAGCGGAGCGTGGTGCTGCTGGTCTCGGTGCCAGCAAAGAAGAGAGACAGCACGGAGATTATGAGGTTCTGATGATGGAACTCCGTGTGTTGGTTGGACTTCTCCTGGTTCCAGATGGGAGAGAAAAGGGAGGGTCAAGGGTGACTGGAGCCTTGCAGGGAGAGGCACACACATCCTGAGAACTGTCCTCTGTCTCAATATCTAGACCACATGGCATTTCTCAGTCCTTAATAATATCACTTGATCTCTGTCTGTTCTGTCTTCTGTCTCTACTGTGCTCTCTGCTAGTTTATCATGGTTTATCTCCCAGACTCTTAGAACCTCTGTTGTCTTTCCTGCTTTTTTCTTGTGTCCTATGTTTCTTCCCCACCCTTCTTTCTCCCTATCACATTTTCTCTTCCTTTTCCAGATGCTTCTGCATCTTCTCCACTCCATTTCTTGTCTCTCCTCCCCATCCTCTGCCCCCCTTTCCTCCACTCACATCCTCAGCCTTCACTCTCAGCCATCCCCTCTCATTAACGCAGGACTTACCTTCTCCATGCGTAGAAGGTAGGTATCGATGAAGTCTCTAGGATTGTTGGGGTCCAAGGTTTCCCTGTGCTTCTCCACACTGTGGCCAATGTAGTCGAGAATTTCCTGCAGGTTTTTGGAAACTTGTATGTGTGTACCAGGAAAGTACTTCAGGAAGCCAGAGAAGAGCTCAAACACCTGCAAGAAAGAAGGGTCCAGGAAGTTACTTGAAGCTATCAAGTCTCAAGAAGCAAGCTGTTCCTAGGTCCAAACATTCCATGAGTCCCTGCCTTCTCTCCTTCTATCCTCACCCCTTCCCTTTTTTTATCCTCCCCCATTACTTTGCTCATCTTCTCTGTTCCTTTGTTTTCCCTCTCATGAACATACATATACAGCATACTATCAGTCTGTCTCTCTGAATTTTTCTTCAGTACTTACCTTGTATTCTCTATCTCTCTTTCCTAAGCCATCATTTTGTTGTTGCTGCTGCTGATGTTGCTACTGTTGTTTCAATTGGGGTTTTGTGTCTTTCAGACTATCCTCAAACTCAATACTTATCCAAAGGTGACATTGAACTCTGATCTCCCATGTACTGGGATTGCATAGGTGTACCAGCCGTACCTGGCTTATTTTGTGTAGACAACCCCTCTGTCCTCTTAGCTACAGCCAGAGCCCCATGTCTTCATTTTCTCAAGGTTGGCTGGTTCTATTTCTGCATCTGGGTCTCTCTACCCTGCTTAACAACATCCCTTCCTCCCTTTGTTCATTCCTACATCCCTCCATCCCTCCAGGCCTCAGGATCCTTGCCTCTCTATGTTGTTTCTGCCTTTTTACCAGCCCTAAGACATTCCCTTCTTTGCACACAAAGCAGCTTTTTTTCCCCTCTGCCTTGGATGCTCCTCTCTTTCCACCCACTCACCTGGCTGGAGAATGAGCTGATAAGTGAGAAGGTCTGATAGAACAGGTCCAGCAGGCGCAGGAACTGGCGATCTTTGTAGTCAAAGCGCTCTCCAAAGACAATGGAGCAGATGATGTTGGCTGTGATGCACTGGAAGAGGAAGGTGGGGTCCAGGGGGGCTCCTGGAGGAGGATGCAGGACAAGAGACATGGCATCAAGAGGAACATTTGGCCTTGGCTTCATCTCTGTAAAGTTGTCCCCACCACTCACTACTCAAAGAATAACAACAGCTGATACCCCATTTGTACATATGGTGCACCAGGTCCTACACTCAAGATTACACACACCATTTTACTTAATTTCCTCTCAGTATTATACATAAGATGCAATGCTATTAGTATACACAGAAACAGTCACTAACTTCAACAAAGGTAACACAACTACTCATGAGTGGGGCCAGGATTCAGACCCAGGGAGCTGAGAAGGAGAGCATGTGTAAGTCAGTCTCTACCCTGTACCTCTCCCACCCCCCCACCCCCCCACCCCCCCACCTCACCCCCACCCCCCGGGCAACATTCTGACTCTGAGCTGAGAGCTAACTCCTACTGGCAGGAATGGTGCAGAGAAGGATTCAGGGGTTGCTTTAGGGATTTAGAAGTCTATCATCTACGAGTCTTCCTCCAGGTCTTCTATGATTCTAGGCTCTGTGGTATTCCAAGTACCATCATCGTGTGTGTGTGTGTGTGTGTGTGTGTGTGTGTGTGTGTGTGTGTAACTTTCTTTTCTCTGCCCATGTATGTCTAGCCTCTTTCTTTGGTTCTGCACTCAGGTCCCTGTGTCACCATCTTCCTTGATGTTCATTCTCCAGGACTCACCCTGGGATTTCCTCAGCTCCTCCACCAGACAACGGGCCTCTTCCTGAATCCGCTCCTCCACACTCCTCTTCCCCATCCCAAAATCTCTCATGGTGGCCAGAGAGAATCGCCGAAGAGCCTTCCAGCGTTCCCCATTGGCAAAGACCACACCTAAGAACATAGGGGAAGGATAAGTGAGTTACAGAGGAAGTTCACAGAGACCTGGGTCCTTCCCCACCCCTTGCCCTTCCTTCTATCAGATTCTCCTCTCTCTGTGCCCATTCACTATTCCACCTCATCCCAAACCTTGAGACTCCTACCATAGTCCTTGAAGATTGGTTGAACCACAGCAATTGTTCCCCGGCCAGAGAAAGCCTCAGCTTGGTCTACCAGAGCTTCCTTTATGGCCTCTGTCCCATACAACATGACCACAGGCCTCGGTCCCAGGTGCACTGTGAACACGTCTCCATATTTTTCTCGAAGCTGCCAAGGATAAAGGCACCAGGGTTGTGGTTAGTCAGTGCAGACGTTGTTGTTACACTGAAAACACCTAGACACAGACGGGTAAATAGTTACCCCTGCGCTGGCCACCTTTCCTCTTCTGAGGACATAGCAATTTCAGGGTTAATCCACCACCACGAAGGTCTGCATTGATGTTGGGTGTTCTGAGCAGTACAACATTATAGTATAACTGTGGGTGTGGGGCTCGTGCTATAAACTCAGTACTGGGGGAGTAAATGAGGTGAATTAGGAATTCAAGATCATCTCTGGCTGCTGTTAAGCTGAGCCTGGGGCTACGTGAAATCTTGTCTCAAAAAAATAAACATATGGGCCGGGCGGTAGTGGCGCACACCTTTAATCCCAGCACTCTGGAGGCAGAGGCAGGCGGATCTCTGTGAGTTCGAGGCCAGCCTGGTCTACAAGAGCTAGTTCCAGGACAGAAACCAAAAGCTACAGAGAAACCCTGTCTCGAAAAATCCAAAAAAATAAAAAAATAATAAAATAAAATAAAATAAACATATAAATAAAATCAATAAAAATATGGTATAGGAAAACTGAGAGTGATGAATTGAAGCTGTAACAGACCCAGCAATAAACTTGTTTAAGAAATACTAAGTTGCAGAAGGTAGGGTTTAACTCAAGCAGTGCTACTGCCTCTAAGATGACTCAGTGATATGTGGTTAAACTAACCAGACTTGTTAGAAAATGTACGAAAATAGTTGCACTTTGAATATAATTGTAGTTTAGGTTTGCTGCAGTTTAGGCTTCTGAGAATATATATATATATTTTAATATTTGTTAAGAATGTTGGGTATTAGGCTCCATTCCCATATCAAAGGACAAGGCTCTGCTGGGCAGTTCAAAGGTGGGTAACAACCACTGTTAAGTCCTGGTTCTTTTATCAGAAAGAGTATAATTCTGCCAGGAGAACAGATGACCTGGGTGTGGTGGTTTGAATAACAATGGTCCCCATAGGTTCCTATGTTTGAATGCTTGGTCACCAGGGAGTGTCACTACTTGAAAAGTTTGGAAGGATTGGGAGGTGTCGCTAAGGGTGGGCTTTGAGATTTTAAAAACCCATGCTAAGCCCAGAGTTTCTCTCTCTGCCTACAGATCAGGATGGAGTTCTCAGCTACTGATCCAGAATCAATCATGCCTGCTTTCATGGCCCTAACATGATGATAATGAACTAAACCTCTGAGACTATAATCAACCCCCAATAAATGCTTTCTTACAAGAGCTGTCTTGGTCATGCTGTCTCTTCACAGCAATAGAACAGTGACTGGGACACAAGGAACATGACTCCAAAGGAACAACAATGATCAGCCTTAAAAGAGGTGGTGACAATATCTTTGCTATAAATCTTCACTTATCCAAAACGGCCAGATTTACAGTTCTTGTCTCTGTAAAACATGTTTAACTGCTCAAAGTCTGGTAGAACCTAAAAGATATTTACAGATGACAGCACATGCAGATTGCTTGTGTTCAAGATCTACAGAAGCTATTAAAAATTTCACATCGAGGCGAGCTTCTCTAGGATGTTGGCAAGAACCAGCTATTGCATTTCTAAAGAAATTTTTTTCCTTACTTCTCAAGTGTTTGAAATAAATTCTCACTAATGAGGGGAGGGGACTTAACCTGCTACTTCAGACATAGATATAGATGTAGACACAGATATGGATATGATATGGATATAAATACAGATATAGATCCTTGCCCATACACCTTCAGTCTGGACAGCTCTGAATCTCAATCAAGAACCATGCTTCCTGTGATCCAGCTTCAACCTGTTCAATACTTCCTGACAACATTCAAGAAAATGGTTTTGACCCATTCACTGGATACATGGGAAGGGGAAGTAATGATCCCTGTTGATGGTCTTGAGTTCACACTCATGACTACAGTATGGGCTGTTGGGAAATACCTAACAATGCAACCTACCTCTACAGGGAATTGGTTCCAGGAACATGACAACCCTCCAGAGCTGAGAGCCCTTGAGGAGCATGGTGTTGTGTTTGCAAATAACCCTCTCTCATCCTCCTGTAAACTTTACTTTCTCAAGATTGCACTGGAGCTAATAGAAATGAAAGGCTATAAAAACGGTCCGTGCCTGATGTTATTTATGAAATAATGCTAAGAAAAAAAAAACTCTACACATGTGTGAATTACAGGGGTTTATGTTTTGAGACAGGATCTTGCTGTGTAGGCCAAGCTGAGCTGGGACTCTCTATATAGCTTAAGTTGTCTCAAATTTGTCATTCTCCTGCCTCAGACTCTGAAGTGCTGGAGTGTGAGCTATACCTGAAAGCATTTCTTCTAAGTATTTTCAATCCACAGCTGGTTGAATCTGTGAGTAGAGACTGCCTTTATCAAGAATCAGCTCTAATTTTTTTAAATATTTATTTATTGTGTATACAATATTCTGTCTGTATGTATGCCTACAGGCCAGAAGAGGGCACCAGACTTCATTACAGATGGTTGTGAGCCACCATGTGGTTGCTGGGAATTGAACTCAGGATCTTTGGAAGAGCAGGCAATGCTCTTAACCTCTGAACCATCTCTCCAGCTCCCTCAACTCTAATTTTTGAAGATGAGTATAAGCATACAGAGAAATTTCACCTCCAAGTTCTTGTAAAACAGCAAAAATATATACACTTATTCACCAAATGAATGAACCAGATTATTCCTAGAAGGAAGCCTTCTTAATAATATGCTACACAGAACAAACAAAGAAGTTCCTGTGAGGATAAAACAGGTGGTCACACTCCAGGACCTTAGGAGTGAGGAAACCCAGGCAGTGTCTCTAGCCACCCCAACAGCTATCATAACACTTGAAAATAAATACCAGGTTCATCGCACTTGAATCAGGCCTCAGAGGCCACACTTAAAAGCCTGTTGAGGATCCCAGCGAGTGTACACAGATAAGCGTTCTTGTGAACCTACCAAGGGAGTATAATGGATTTTGTATGAGTGTTATGCCTACATGTATGTAAGCACATTACATTAGTGCAGTGCCCTCAGACGGCAGAAGAGGGAGCCAGATCCCCTGGAACTGGAGTTACATATGGTTGTGAGCCATTTATTTTGGGTGCTGGGAATCAAAACCAGGTCCTCTAAGCAGCAGTCAGTGCTCTTAACTGCTGAGCCATCTCTCCACCACCACTACCCCCACCCATGTCCTTCTTATGACTTCTCCTAAATGAACATTTCTTCCCAGAGCTACATGTGACTGATACCAGTCACTGATCCCTGATCCACTGATCCACTGATCCCTGTGGAACAGCTTCGGAAATGTTTCATCACCAAATTTCAGCCCATCTCCCAAATTATTTTAGAGACACTGTTCTTAAGAGGAGAGTGTTAAGAAGCCTAAAAATCAGTTTAAAGTAGACTCCACCCTTATCCTTTGTCCCATATCCCTTAACCCTTATCCATTCTCCCTCCTCCCTCTGGTCCTGAGAGGAGACATGATATTCTTACCTGCTCCAAAGATTGACTCCACCCTTAAGAGTTAATTCATCTGGACCTATCAATCCCCAGCCAAGAGACAAGCCCTGGGAAAAGCTGATTCATAAACCATGATGAGGATAAAGGAGGAATAATCATTCCCTTATTGACCTAGTGTACTTCTCCTTCCCTGGCCTTGGTGCAGCCACTTGCAGAACTTCTGTCAGCAGCTTTTCTAGTGCTTACTCGGAAAATTATTCCTCTTTTGTTGTGCTGTGAAATAATCCTATATACACTGTGTGAATATATGTCACTGTGAGTGGTTTAATAAACACAATAGCTGACTGGCCAACTACTGAATAGGATACAGTTAGGCTGGAAAGTCAAACCAAGAATGATGGACTGAGGAAGGGTAGAGTCAGAGGAGTTGCCACCCTCTGATGCAGAGGGAACAGAAGATGAATGTGCCATCCTGATAAAGGTACCACCACGTGGCAGACCATAAATAAGAAACATGGGTTAACTTAAAATGTAAGAGATAGTTAATACTAAGCCTGAGCTATTGGCCGAGCATTAATTAATTAGTTAATATAACTGTGCGGTAATTTGGAAGCAGCTGCCAGTGCAGAAAAATTCCACGTACACTGTTGGAAGGCCTTGCTGGTCAGAGGCTGCAGTCTACCACGGCCTGGCAGCTCTCTCCAAGCTTGGCAACATAGAGGCCTCCCTTCCCAATGAGACTTCCTGCTCTCTACATGCCCTTATTTGGAAAAGGGCTGGATGTTGGATTTACCTCTAGAGTGACCCTTGGCATAGTTCCCTGCTAGAGTTCTCCTGCCTGCTGTCCCTATGGTAACCAGACACTGTGTAGGGAGCTTGGCCATAGGAACATACTCCACATACGGTAACTAGGACTTGCACTAGGAGCTTCATGATAACACTTAAGCTGTCGCCCCAAGAGCTGTCAAACTGTCCAACCCTGCTCACTCACTTTGCTCCCTCCCACTTTGTAGACCAGCAGCCAGCGATCCCCAAGAAAGAAGAGCTTCGCACTCGTCCTTCTCTTTTCTTTTTAATCTCTTCTTCTGGATCTCTACCAAAGGCTGGGTTGCTTTCCCTGGCACTCTGTGCCTACTCTCTCTCTCTCCCTGGTGCTATACTGCCCTACCCTCTTTCATTATGTGGCAGCCTACAAACAGCATGACTTCCCTCTTCCTATCCATCTTCCAACCCCGGCAGCTGCCAAGATTCACAACTTGCCTGTCTTGCTGTTTCCCTCTCAAATGATAATAAAATTGTCCTTGAGCTTCAAAAGAATTTTAAAAAAAGAAAGACTCAGAAAGGCAGTTGAATATTTAGTCCAAATGTTGGCAGTTACTGGAGGCCACAGCTTGGTTTGTTTCTCTACTCCTGGCCAACAGTATTTCACCATACTTAAGACGTCAATCTCAATAACACACATGATAAAAGCCCACACTCACTTACAGCAACACAGCTGCCTGGGAGTGTAGGCCTGTTCCTTCAGCCACAACTAAAGCTTCCAGAGAATGTTCCAGGTTGCATACCAGCAAACCCAGCAAAAACAAGCGATTTGGAATTGAACTGGAACTCACGGAGCTGACATGGCCTTTAGCACCTGAATTTGAGTCAGGCTCCAAACTCATCTATAACCCATTTGAGAGAGCTGAGCTGGTTGCATCTGCAGTTCGCCATGGAATATCACTACCACTTGACTTCCACCTATCTGGAGCTTCCCTTTTGTTGCCTTTTCCATGTTATATGCCTTGAACATGGTTAAAGTGTCCTCTGTGGTTCCTGTGTTGGAAGCTTGGTCCCCAATGTGATTGTGTTGAGAGGTGGCAGAGACCTCAGGAGCTGGAATCTAGTGAGAGGCATTGGGTCTTTGGGACAGATCCACAGAATAGGTTAATGCTGGTCTCATAGAAAGAGCTGGATTCGTGGAGAATGAATTATTATAAAGCAAGGCCACTACATGTGGTTAGCCTCTTCTGCAAGTGACAGATCCTCTTTTCTCCTCTCCACTATGTTGTGACACATAAGAGGGGTTCCCACTAGAGGCCGGATAAAAGAAGTGCTGGATCTTGGAATATCTGTTCATGATTATAAGCTAAATAAACCACCTTGCTTTTAATTTTCATTGTGTGTGTATGTCTGCATGTGTCTGTGTTTGTGTATGTGTATCTGTGTGTTATGTGTGTCTTGTGTTATTTGTGTGTGTCTGTGTGTCTGTATCTCTCTGTAAGTCTGTGTGTGTCTGTGTTATGTGTGTGTGTATGTCTGTATCAGTCTGTGTGTATGTGTTATGTGTGTGTATGTATGTGTGTGTATGTGTGTATGTCTGTGTATGTGGGCAGGGCGGTACTCCCAGAGGTTAGAGGAAAACATCAAATCCTCTCGAGAGCTGGAGTGGCAGGCAGAAGTTAGCTGTCAGATATGGGTTCAGGGAATCAAACTGGGTCCTCTGGAAAAGCAGCAAACATTCTTAACTACTGAGTCATCATTATAGACACATAAACCTTTTTATTTTATAAAAGACTGAGTCTCTTCTCTATTGTTATAACAAAAAAATTAAAAAATCACCGGGAGGGTCTTTCTTGCTGACTTAGGTGGGCCATTTCCCATCTTACCATTCTTGGTTTCAGTCAAGCCATTCCTCCCCATGACCCCAGAATTCAGCACCTACCTCTCCTCCATTACACCATGTTCATTCACCTGGGACTATTTCTCCCTCTCCTGTCCCCCTTTGTCACTCAGGAACAGCTTCTTTCCCCATTTATTCTCCTTCCAGAGAGTCTTCAGGAATCTCATCAGATCCTATCTTTTATGTAGACCCTTATGGATCCTCAGATGATCGTTAAACTCAACTGGGGGTGGGGCTGGAAGGATGACTTGTTATTTAAAAGCACATGCTGTTCTTGCAGAGGACAATGGGTCAGTTCCCAGCACCCCATGGCACTCATACCATTTGTAACTCATTTCTGGGGATCCCATACCCTTTAGAGCACCAACTATGCACAAGGTACACATGTATACATGTAAGCAACACGCATAAACATAAAATAAAACGTAGGGAGGCAAACCCTTTTGCTTTGACAGTGTTCTGTATCACCCAGGTGAACAGGAAATTTATCTAATTAACATATCTCAAACCAGGCCATCAGGGATCAAGGATGCAGCTCTGCTCCCCAACCCTACCACTATGATGCTATGTGGTGGAACATGGGACTCCTTATCATTCAAAGTAAATAGTTAGAAAGGAAGCCAACCATCACATTACAGCTGGTAGAGGCCCTAATTCCCTGCCAGCGGCACATTTCTTAGACCCTGTGTGATCGTATGTTTTTACCTTGTTTAATTTTTAAAACAATCTTATTTTACACACAATCCCAGTTCCCGCTCTCTCCCATCCTCTTATTTCCCCCATCTTCCCCCCATCCCACCCCCCCATCCACTCTGCAGAGAAGGTGAGGCCTTCCATTGGGAGTCAACAAAGTCTGTCACGTGTGTTCGTATCTTAATGATGCAAACTGTCCCCATGCAGCTGAAAGAGATGGCCCAGAGGTTAAGACCACTGGCCGCTCTTCCAGAAGTCCTGAGTTTGGATCCCAGCAGGCACATGGTGGCTCACAACTATCTATAATGAGATCTGGTGTTCTTTTCTGGCATGCAGGCATGCAGGCAGGCACAGAACACTATATACATACTAAATAAATCATTGAGAAAAAAATACTGTCTCTGCAGGGAAAAGATGCAGCGTGGTCACACTGTGACGGGATGCTACCACACCTCACTGTGGGTCTGTGGGCAGTTAGTGGTACTGGGGATAGGTGTCAATTTTGTTAGTGTTGTAGTCACTCACGAGATGCTCATGATCCAGTAATTAGGCCCCACCCATGCTTAGACAGGGATCAGCATCTCTTCTTTTCCACACCAACCTTCCCAAATGAACCTAGAGCCTAGAAAGCATCCTGCCTCTTCATGCTAAGTGATCTCCAAGCAATAAGTCACACATGAGACCATGTGAATGACCCTAATTAAACTCAGTGGGAAAAAACAGAAGGGTATCAAAGTAGAAAGAGTCTTGTTGGCAAAATGAAGGGTTCCTGTGGGAGAAAGAGGGAGGAGAGTGGGAAAGGAGGCCACAAATGACTGAGATCTGGTATATCCATATGTTAAATTGTCAAAGGATTTTTAAAAATAAAATCAATAGGGTGTTGACTTGGGCTTTCCAATGTGTGGGAAGCACATGTTTCAAACAAGTATGTCAGGGTAGGGTGACACACACTTTCCATTCCACTCAAGAGGCTAAGACAGGAAAATATGAGTTAGATGCCAACCTAAAAGACACTGGGAGATCAAGTTTCAATATATAAATTAAAATAACTAAATTTGCCATTGATGGGGGGATCTTTTAGAATACAGGGGGTAACAAACACAAGGTTCGTGAGGGAAATCTCCACAGCCATGGGGAGGGACAGAGGAGTGGGATTTACAGTCATTGCTTTAGCTCCCTCATGGAAGGTAGGACCACAGGGCCAACTCATTATTAGTACGCAAGTGGTGTTTAATCAAACATGAAATCCCCAGTGTGAAGCATCAATGCGGAGCCTGGTAAATACAGTGCTAGCTGCTGGAATGAACTGATAAGCAAGCACTCCCTACCTGCCCCTCCTCCCGCCTTACCTCTCCTCCCCTTTGTCCCCCGAACACCTCAAGCTAATCTTTGCTCTCTTTTGTTGGCAGGAACAAAGCCTGTTGTTGATGCCTCTGACATTGTTCTTTCTGTTCTGGAACAGACAGGCCCCACAGAGTGAAAATCTACACGCTTAAACCTCAACACCTGGACCCCTTTCACACTCGAAGCACAGTGCCCCACACAATTCCAACATGCTAGCGAGGACGCGCCTGTCAATCTGAGTACCATCCATCACCACCAATCAGCGTCTCACCTTTCACTCAGCAACCTTCCCACCTGGAAGGAGTCCCTTGTTCGTCCCAATGAGTGATCTCCAGGAGCAAACATGGGGCTATGCCATAGGGCACAGGCCCTGTGCATGTCTCACCTGCATGAAGGAGTTGAGGAGGCCTCCTCTGTCCATCTGCAGGAGGTTCCCCAAGAGGGGCAGGGGACGGGGTCCTGGTGGAAGGTGGCCACGAGCCTTTGGGTGGCCCCTGACCAGGAGCAGTAAGAAGCCCACAAGGAGAGCGAGGAGGAGCAGGACACTGGGCTCCATGGTCCTGGTCTGAGCACCGTCCACTTCACTGAACACTCCAGCTGGACTTTTATGCTGAACCTGGCCTTCCACCCAGTTATGTAACTTCAGCTGTTCCCGCCTCCTGTCTCATCATTGTCCCCGAGTGTGAGCACCCATACTTCCTGCTTGGGCTGTCAATGACCGGCTCACTCCCTCCTTCCTTATCCCCACCCTGGATGTTGGCAAGGACATCATGAAAAAGGATACACAGGACATTGGGAACAATGAGTCTCAATTTCTGGGGGTGAGTATACACAAGTCAGTTCAGTTCTGTCTGCTTATTTACTCAGGCGTGAACCTGTGTGTATGCACTGTGCATATTTTTATATCTTAAAGGTCAATTCTAATATGAATGTGCAGCTGTGTGATTCTGTGTTTGAGTCTAGGTTGCTTGCTAGTCTACTCTTGCATGTACAAGGTGTGTTTGCATGTATAACCTTCAGTTATAGAGGCCTTTCTGTATGATCTTAGCTTCATATGTGAATGTGTTCACACTTAAGTGACTAGTGTTGCATGGTCCTGTGCATGTTCCTGTGTCTCTGCAGTCCCCAGCCAGAGTCTTTGAGGGGCTGCAGATGTGATTTCTCCAGAGACCCCATTGAATTCTCTGGCCTGTGACAGCCACAGATGGGAGAAAAAGAAGGAGAGGGAAGGAGAGGCAAGAGTTTCAGGAGTGGGAAGGCTTGGGAATGAGGAGCAGAGAGATGCTGAAACATGGCAGAGGAGCGGCTGGGGCCCATGGGTGTCTGGGCTGGCAAGTTTTATGTCAAGTTGATACAAGCTAGTATCATTTGAGAGGAAGAAACTTCAGCTGAGAAAATGCATCCATAAAATCACACCGTGGGAAGCCTGTTGGACAATTTCTTAATTACTGATTAACATGGAGGGCCCAAACCACTGTAGGTGCTGCCACCCCTGAGCTGGTGGTCCTGGGTTCTATAAGAAGGTGGATTGAGCAAGCCATGAGGAGCAAGGCAGTAAGCTGCACCCTCCATGTCCTCTGCATCAGCTCCTGCCTCCAGGTTCCAGCCCTGACCTCCCTGGACTATGAACTGTAAAGTGGGAATGTGGGCAAAATAAACCCTTTCCTCCTCAAGAGGCTTCCAGTCATGGTGTTTTGTCACAGAAACAGAAACCCTAACTGAAAGAGTCTCTGATCACTGTGACTAATGACAAAAGCTTCCTTTTGTCCTCCTGGCTGTCTTCATAGGACATGAAGCTTTCTGACCCTCTCTCTTGCTGTCTCTGACCTACCTACTCCGCAGATTGCTGCAAGATGCAGAGACTGTCTTAGTCTGGAAGCTGCTCTAGCAGAATACTGGAAACCTGGTAATTATAAGGACAGAATGTTTTGACTGAGGTTCTGGAAGCAGCTATTTCCAAGAACACGGCACTGGTGTCTGGGGAGATCCTGGTTGCTGCTCTATGGTGTGACTCAGGAGTCAGCAACTGACCCTCCTAAGACTGAAGGAGAAAGCTAGAAGGACACTGAACATTCTTAGCTGCCCCCCACCCCCCACGATGGTGACTTTGATCCACTCGCAAGGTGTTATGTTTGAATGTGGAATCTTTGTCACGGGTTCACATGGCAACACTTTGTACCTAACTGATAGCACTGTTTGGGAAGGTGGCAGGACACCCTAAGTGGTAAAGCTTGCTAGAAAGAAGTAGGCTGTTGAAGGCAAGTTGATGGGTTCCAACTCCACTGCATCTCTCTCTCTCTCTCTCTATCTCTCTCTCTCTCTCTCTCTCTCTCTCTCTGTGTGTGTGTGTGTGTGTGTGTCCTCTTTCTCCTCTTCATCCTCTTTCTTCCATCTTCCATATATAAGAACAACCACAGCTCCCACGTTTAGACTAAAGCCCCAAGTGCCACACCTAACCTGCCATGAAACTAAGAGAAAACAAATCCTTCATCTCTGCTCAGTTGCTTTGTAGCAGGAATTTGGCCTCGGTGACAAGAAGAGCAATGAATGCAGAGAAATGGCACAAGAATGTGCTGTTAGGATGAACATGACCATGTCACTCAAAGGCTGGAATCATCATCAGGTGGGGCTCCAGACTTGCTATAGGAGCTCGTGACTGGTCGCATAGCAATGGCAGATGAGAAACAAGAGAGAAAGAGACAAGCTGGAATCAGGCCCAGGGTATAAGCCATCATCTAATATATCTATAGCCATTGTAAGTAACCTACTTCCCTCTTAAAGACTCCATAATTCCCAATGGTGCCAACGTGGGCACGTACATCCACATAAAACTTGAGAGAGCTTGGGAAGTAATTCTAGACACACAAAAAAAGGCAAAGGTAAGCATGGTTTCTTGGTAGCAGTATTTTCTCAGGTGGGCTCTATTTGCTAGAGGCAAGTACATCTCATTTGAGAGAGGCTTCCACCATTTAAGAGGCCCCACCACCAAACACTTAAATGATGTTTATGACTAGCCAACAGAATGCTTCTTGGTGGTGGCAGAGACCTTAAAACTCCATAGAGTTGTGGCAAAAAAAAAAAAAGAAACAAACAAAAAAAAAACCATGTTTCTCACCAGTACCTCAACCATAAATCTAGACTCTCAAAAAGCTAAGGAATGAGGTGAATCTAGCTGTTAAGGCCAAGGTTTTAATCCTTGCCATATTATTTAGCAAATTAAAGATTCATGTGGTCGAAAAAAGAGAAATATACAGTAAAGGTAGATTCAAACAAAAAATAAACCTCTAAACAGTTTACAGTGTGTTTTTAAAAAAAAAAAAAAAAG